CTACAATACATAGAGAGAGAGCCAAATTACCCTAAAAAAAAGAGGTATATCAAAGATAATGAAATTATTAGTGATTCATCTCAAGGGATAAGAACTAGATCCTCTTATAATGTATGTAATTATGTTATTTTTCTATCTCATTTTGAACCCAAAAATATAGATAAAGCCTTAAGAGATGATCATTAGATATTAGCTATGCAAGAAGAATTGAACCAATTTAAAAGAAGCCAAGTATGAAATCTTGTACTTAGGCCTAGTGATTATCCTACTATAGGCATAAAATGGGTTTTTAGAAATAAAATAGATGAGCATAGGAATGTTATTAGAAATAAAGCTAGATTGATAGCTCAAAGGCATAGTCAAGAAGAGGGAATTAATTATGATGAAACTTATGCCCCAGTTGCAAGGTTAGAGGCCATAAGAATGTTGTTTGCATTTGCATGTTTTAAAGATTTCAAGTTTTTTCAAATGGATGTCAAGAGTGCATTTCTTAATGGTTTTATAAATGAAGAAATGTATGTAGAGCAATCTCTCGATTTTGAAAATCTAAAATTTTCAAATCATATTTATAAATTGACAAAAACATTATATGGTTTAAAATAAGCTCCTAGAGCTTGGTATGAAAGATTGTCAAATTTTTTGGTAAAAAATTATTTTAATAGAAAGAAAGTTGATACTATACTTTTTATTAAAACAAAAAGAAAGAGCATTCTCATAGTGTAAATTTATGTTGATGATATTATATTTGGTGCTAATAATGAAATTCTTTATCAAGAATTTACTAAAATTATGCAAGGTAAATTTGAAATGAGCATGATGGGAGAACTCACATTCTTCTTGAGACTACAAGTAAAGTAAACAAAAGATGGCACTTTCATCAATCAAGCCAAATACATTAAGGATTTATTTATAAGGTTTGGATTAGAAGAATCAAATCTTTGCTTAATACCAATGAGCACTTCAACAAAACTTGACAAGGATGAAGGAGGTAAATGTGTTGACTCTAAACTTTATAAGTCTATGATTGGTTCATTGCTATATCTTACTGCTAGTAGACCTGATATTATGTTTAGTGTATGTTTATGTGCTAGATTTCAATCTTCACCTAGAGAATCACATTTATCTGCTGTCAAAAATTTTTTTAAGTACTTTAAAGACACCCCTAATTTAAGATTATGGTATTCAAAAGACTTATCTTTTGCTTTACATGCCTATTCTGATACAAATTTTGATGGATGCAAAATAGACAAAAAAAACACATCTTGTACTTGTCAATTGTTTGAAAATATGCTCATATCATGGTTTTTCAAGAAACAAAATAGTATTGCTCAATCTACAACTAAAGCCAAATATGTGGCAGCCGAAAATTGTTGTGCCCAAGTTTTGTGGATTAAGCAACAATTGAAAGATTTTGGAATAACCAAGGATCATATTCCTATTAAATGTGACAATATTAGTGCCATCAATCTCACTAAAAATCTAATTTAACACTCTAGAATCAAACATATTGAAAGTAAGCATCATTTTATTAGAAATCATGTTCAAAAGGGTGATATTGTGCTTGAATATATTAATACTAACTAGCTGATATCTTCACAAAATCTCTTGATAATGATAGATTTTATGCAATTAGAGGTAAACTTGGAATGATGAATGTTCCATAAAGTGAATTTCTTGATGTTATGATGAATAGTGCACTTTTGATTGATCAAATGTGTGTTTATCTAAAATTTTTTATGATTTGTGCATGATTGTATGCTTGAATGATCATATTGCATGGTTTTTAATTAATATGAACTTGAGTGGCCTTGAATTGATTGTTTTCTCATTTGGCTTTACTTCATCTTTTTTGTTATAACAAAAAGGGAGAGAAATATTGGTATAAATGAAAAAATTGCTTACTTTGATTATCCTAATGATATTGGTTTGGTGATATTGATTTTGTTTAGTTGGCTTAAAACTTATACTTAAATTCAGTGGGAGTTATATTATTTAGGGAGAGTTTGTTTTTCAAAATGAAAAATATTTTTCCTGTAAAGTTTTTATTTGATTTTGTTATATCAAAAAAGAAGAGATTGTTGGTTTTGAATTGATCAAGAGTTTTGATTTGACAAAACAAAACTCTTGATCAATTCAAAGCCAACAACTTCTTATCTCATTTTTATAGTCAATAAATAAGATTATTTTTATTAATAAATTACTAGTTCGTGGCAAATTATCAACTTTAAAAGTAAGGGTTCGAGTTTGAATCTAATACAAAAAAAAATTGTATTGAAAGTTTTTTGACATATTTTTGTATATTTCCTTTCTAAAAAATTACATGCCTGATTAATTTTTCTCTTTGCTAAATTAAAACTTAGAATTCAAGCAAATTCTTTAAAAAAAAAAAAGAAAATGGGAATACATGTGTCCTGAAGTTTCTCCAATTAGTATGCTGTGTGTAAATGAATATGCAGAGGACCACAACTTCCATGAAATTAATTAATTACTAGTAATTTATTCTATATATATATATATTTGCACAGCCGAAGAGTAGTTCTGTAGTTGTTTGTTTTTATTTTAACGCACGCTCTGATTGAAGCGAGTGGGACATGAATTTCCTTAGCCTTTTGGTAATTCAATTCCAAGAACAGGGTAGGACCACAAATAATAAGGAATTTGGAAACCTTTTTCTTTGATGGATGATGCCCAACCCAACTAAAATCCCAACTTGCAACAGTCCTCCATTAATGTTTTCTTGGATCTTGTGACCCTCAGATTTAGACTGTTCCATTTCAGTCTCTGTTCTTCCCAACAAACAAGAAATCGCAGTCATTTCAGTCTCCTTTCTCTACTGTATACCTATATAATATATTATCACCTGGTTTTTTCTTTAGTTGTGTAAATGATATACGTTCAAATTTTTATCATTTTAAATATCTAAAACAATTTAAAAACATAAACCATTTACTCACTTATAAAAGAGAAGAAAATTTTAAATATCATTGTTCAATTATTGCGGTGAAAAAAAGTAATATAATATAGTTTATATCGACGTTTACAACCTTTAAATGTTTATACAATATTAAAAAAAATGCAAGTGCATCAGGCGATGTTTTGAGTTTTGAACAACTAGCTGGCTAGGCTATTTAGAACACAAACCAGGCTCAATCTCCAAAGTTAGCTTCTTTAATTAATTTTCAGCAAAGAAGTTTTAATTTTGTTTATTTGTTACAGTAAAAACCAATCTATGATTGAAGAAAAAAGCTGCATGCCATACATGATACAACAAATTAAAGCCAATAGCTTGTAGACACTGAAACTATTCAAATATTTTTGCATGCAGACACTGAAACTAGCAAACAGCAAAAGTCAACAAACAAATGATCGATTTCAGGAATGCAAAGATTCATCGAGAAGGCACAATTATATATATATATATATATGCACAATTGTCGTGTAAGACAGACAATCACATTTGCATGGATAGCCGATGAAAAAAAAAATTATAAGATAACAGAGAATTATTTCGTATGTGTATTTTTTTCGGATATAATGAATTTTCTCATATAAGAAGAAAATCTATATACAAAGGAAAAGTGGGGGGTTAATGATTTTAATATTTTATCCTGATCAGTGCATATATGACAAAGATTTGGCTGCAAATTTCTCATATTTGCTTGGGGATGTTCGATTATGGAAGTCTCTTTAATTATATATCGTTAATCTTGTAAGATTTATTTTGTCTACATTTCAAAATATATAAATCCCCAGGGGGCATGCCTTACATTTGAAAGTACATTTTCCTCACAGTAGAATGTATTCATTTCCCTCTACCACTTAACCCAAATTAAGGCCAACTAATTAGCTGGTAACCAAAGCTTATACTACCAAGTCTCAGCTAACTTAGCTCTATCAAACTCATGTGAAGACACTTACTAATAATGTACCCTATCCTTTAGTTGCATTCAAAGTAAAACCCTAGCTTATCACTATAAAAGAACAAGTCTTCAACTACGGAAAAAATTTTCATCATTAAAAGTCTTATTTTATCGACGAATTTCATTTTTGAGACACACATCACTTTTTTTTTTCTATCTGGTAAAAGTTTTTTTTTTTTTTTTTTCTAATTTGGGGAGGAGGGATTCAAATTTACCTCTCTGAGTAAGAGGATATAAATGTACTTCTGCAAATAATCATTTAGTCAAATGCTTAAGCACTATAGATTACTTAAGTGTCAATGTACTTTTCATCTAAACACTTAGTTTTAGACTTTTTGTGTTTCTTTTATGACTTTAAGGTTATTACAACATATTAATCTGATTTTTAACATTTTTGGAAATGATTTATGCTAGCTACTAAAAATTTTATTTAATTACTAGATATTTTAACATAGAAGATTAGGAATGTACTACTACTAGTAAATCATACATGGTAGTGCTTTGAGTAAAAAATTTGTTGATATGAATTATAAGCTGTGGTGGTTTAATTTAGACAGACGCAATTATATATAATAAAGTGATAGTAAATGACACACACACACATACACAATAAGAACATATATATATATGGGAGAGTATAGAGAAGATCATTACTTCTATATGTATGTTATATATATGGCTAAATAAAATTAACCAAAACCCGATGGAAAATGGATTTTGCATGAAAATTAATGCATTTATATAGGAGAGCATTTCCTCGTATGATTGCTAATTGTCATGAATGATGACAGTGATGCAGTTACTGAACATGGCATCCAGGCTAAAGAAAACTATTAATGAAACAATTGATTCTATATATATAGCAAAATATAGAAAGCTAAAACCCAAGAATCAATGCCATACTGCAAAACATTAATAGTACAAATTATCTTTCATTTCACCTACGTAATTAAAAACTGTCTAATAATAATAATATGCATATAGAAGCCACAAGTATTGTAGCATCTTACCTGCTGTAATGTAGAATAAGTTCATCCCACTTGAAGAACTTGAAAATAACTGTCACTGCCAGCTCTCTTCTCCTGGTGTATTTCCAAACAAAATGTAATGACCCTTATTGTAATTCTTGCCTAATTTGGTGATTTCAAATTTTCCGCCTCAGCAAAACATATGAAATTTGATAATCCATATTGATGTACGTAGCCCATGAAATCAAATTAATATCATTTTGAAGTTTGAACCAGCTATCAAGAATCGGTATTATCCTCATCTGCATGACTTTCATCATCATTTTGTGTAAGAGTGAGGCCAGCATTTACGTTTAAAGAGAAATGTTTCATGGGAGAACTCATTGTGACAGAATTTGGCAGAACATGTTGGGAATTTGAGCTCAATAATTGGAAATGATTCATTTGCCTGGAATCATTACTGTCCCCTGGACCTGGTGCAGTACCATATGGAGGATATGTGGGAAAAAGTGAAGGCATTGTCGATGGTGGGCAGAAAAAAAACTGGGGTGCATGTGCCAATGGAAGAGACAATGAAGATGGCAATTGCACACTAGTGTTACCATTGAGGAAATTTTCAGTTTGGGGAAGAAATCCATGGTTCCCAAATTGAGACAAAGATAGACTTGAAGGCTCCCAATGGCAATAAGAATTGAAGGGCATGGCATTGTTTAACAAGCCAGGTGATGACGAATGATTGGTTAAAGGAAAAAGCTTTTGAGATAAAGCCTGACCACCAGTATAAACACCAATATTTCCATCTTGATTTTCTGGTTCATTTAGTCTGATCCACTTTCCCTTCTCAGCAGCGGCATTTGTACTTTCTCTTTCAACTTCCTTACTTTTTGCTCTCAGTGCAGCAGCCATATTATCCCAATATCTTTTTGCTGCTATGCTTTGATCTTCTCCATCCTTCATGAACATAGAATTTGCATCGAAGAAAGGAGCAAGGGAAGATTGGGAGGGATTTGATTCATGAGAAACTAGCATTGGCTGATGGAACTGACCAAATCCCTGAGGCATCTGAAGTGGAGGGAGCTTATCAATATCATCTTTAGTAATATCAAGCAACCAATCAACCACCTTGCTAGGCTGACTAAGGCCAAGCCTATCTTGTAAATCATACAACTGAATTGCAGTAGGTACAGAAAGCCTAATCCGCCGGTCCCTTAATCCCCTTATTGTGCAAACCTTGCTGTGCCTATCCTTTCCTCCAAACGAGCGCGAGACTCTGACAATCCTTGGATTTCTAAATCCTGCAGACCACTGCCTTGAACTTGATGGCCCTTTGGAGACCTTGCCGTCATTGGTTTCACCCTCTTGCTTTGTTTGAAGATCTTTTTCCCTTGAACTCGAGATCATCTTACTCCTCTCATCATTCAAAAGGTATATCAACTGAAACAAGCAATAAATTAACCTGTATTAGACAGTAAATTGCTCTATCTTCATGTTTTCTTTCAACTAGTTTTAGTATTAAAAGTTGAAAATCTTTGCTTCATGATATGTGAAAATAAGATCAACAGCTAGCCAAATCTACACAGTATTTCCTGAGAACTGAAGGTTGTTTCTATATACAAAATTTCAAAGTAACTTGGTTATTTTCAATCTAGATATGTGTGTATATACGGTTTCAAATGCATAATATAATAAAAGTAAAAAAAGATCAATCAAAGAGAGGAATCAGGTCTAAATTTGTATAGAAATTGTACTTTGGATAGAGCCTGTAGCTCCAATTAGAACTTGAGTAAATCTCCAAAAAGAATTTAAAGCAACAACATTAAAGCTGGAGACAACTGGAATATGAGTTAATCAAATCAATTTGATTTATGAATATAAATTCTAACAGAAGATTAGATGATTTTAGAAATAAAAAAAAGGAGTACTTTTTAAGAAAATGGTTAGGGTTTGACAAACATTATTCCTTTATTTTTTATGCCAAAGACCAGATCGATGGACGATAAACTTACATAAAATTAACAGTTGCACATCTTGCAGCAGAACAGACTAATTTAGTTCTTGACTGTCAAGGCTAAGGAACTAGAAGTAGGAAAAGATCGCTGCAATGGAGATCGAAAGCTCCCTTATGTATTCTCTTCAGCTTAGTAGAACTGTATACAAGGAAGGGTTAAAGCTTAAAACAACAACTCTGCTAAGAATAAACCTAGCTAGCAAAAGAAACCACATCTGTAGGAAAGAAAAGATGCTGGAATTTCACTGCAAGCATGTTGCATGGTAAGGAAAAAGGAAAAGGTATGGCTTATCCGCGTCCATCTGGCATCCGACGCTCGTTGATACATCAATATTGGAAGAGAAAGATGTAACTTTCATAAATTTGTTCATACCACATACTGAACAATCACTAGTTTAATTATTGGTATTTTGCTCATCTTTGTATTTAAATTATTCAAGTTTCGAATAGCACACAAAGTAGAAGGTTAACTTCATTACAATATGGGACCATTCAATATATACTAGAAAAAGAGGGCTTATGCTTTATTGGCAACTACAAATAGCTTTATATAATGCATGCCTAGCTAGTTGAGTTGAAAAAGGAAAATAAATAAAGGAAGCATTTTATTTGAACCCAATAATACTATATATTGGGGTGTTGTTTCAATTTCTACCATGGATTTGTTTTGGTTTTACAAAAAAGTTTAAATGAGGGGTGGATATACCATTTCAGAGCCAAAATATGCTGCAGACTTTAATAAGAATTATGGATAAGGAGAATCGAATCTAAGCCTTAGAAATTAAATATTCTATTCTTACTAACTTAACTAACCTTAGTTGGTCTTTTATATCAACATATATACCGCTACATTAAAAGTTAACTTTCATTCAGCAATGAAAGTGAAAAACAATGCCTAATGTCTTGGGCCTAAGTAGAGAATAGGAAATTATTCCTTCAAATGAGCTAGACTTTGATGTAGAGGAAAAGGAATTGTAAATGGAGTTAAGTTCATATGGAAAGGAAATTTCATCAGATATAATTGTGGCTGTGGCTTCCAAAGTTGTGGTGTATATATGCAACGCTAGAATTTCGTTAACAGGATTACATTATAGATAGCAATGGCTAGTTAGCTACCCTTGTAGAGGAGGGACCAACATAGCTTCTTTAAAGCATCTACACTGAGTAGAAACAAGGACCACTCACGTCTATGGCAGTACTGAGATTTGCACGAGACAAGTTGGACTTTATTTTAACTTTTTTTATTTATAAGTTCTATTCACAATTCACGCAATTTAACTTCTGTTTGCAAATGATTTCATGTTTTCTTTTTCTCATTAGAGAATATATGCATATATATATATATTTTTTTTGAAATTCTGGCTGAGACATATTATAAGTGAATATGAAATACGACATGCCAACTTTAAAATTATATATATATATATATATATATATACATTCATACATATAGAGATATTTGTCAACTCAAAGTTGGGTGATGTAGCTCCTTAACATTTCTAGATATGGAGTTTTGGAAGATAATGAAGAGAAAAACCTAAAAAACTTGGTGCTTGCCTTATGCAACCAAGATGAACATTATTCTTTTATTAAGAGAATACATGAATGAAGAATCATGGATTCATTGCATACCTGCATATGTATATATGATCTTGTGACAAGGATGAAGCCAAAAAGATTGATGCACAGAAATATTTGCATGCAGCCTCTAACAAGGAAGAGTTAAAGTTTGTATCTGCATTTTGAGAAATTGTGTCGTTTAACTGTTAGAATAAGACTCCAAAATGCTTCCCGAAGAAGTGAAAACTAACACCAGAAATTTAGAGATCATGCAATTACTTTTCTTCATATATTTTTTTTCTCTTATGATCTCAATCTACCTATAAGGGGAAAAGGGGTTTCAACATTTATCCGAACAAAGAAAGAAAAGAAACAACATCCAAACATGATAATAACAATGATTCATGAAGACCCCAGAAGAATGTGTATGTCCGATATATGTTTGTGGGAGTGAGGGGGGAAAGATCAGATCAGAGAGAGAGAGAGGGAGACTGCAACTTTTTGAGTTACCTTGACAATCTAGAAAATGGGATCTTCACCAAAATTACAGCACTAGCACTAATAGACCAGTCATCAATGTAGCTTGCAGTTGCACCAGTTGAAAAGCTGAACTCAACTTTATATCCCTATTGTATCGAAATAAGGAAAAACCCAACAATTTGATGAACCCTATGAACCTGTTGCAATATCCTCAGCTTTGCAATATTCAATGTTTCATTGACAATGCAAATAGAATTTATACAGCAAAATAAAATGACCCAATCTACTACTTCTCAAGTCAATTCAGAGGCAAAGCCAATACCCCTTTTAAGATTTTAAAGCCTTTAACATTTTTTGGTAAAGAGATCAGAAGTGGGCATAACGCATAAAACAATGAACCCTAAGGACAATTACCTCTCTTTAATTATTATTTCACATGCACAAACTTTTATTGGAAAGTACTTAATACTAATTTCATGCCTACTTATTTCCAGGGTTTTTATCAAATTTTGTATTTACATAAATAGAAATTTGTTTTGAGTTATCCCTTTCTTTGCAGGAAAAAAAGAGGTGGGCATCACGAGAAAGGATTTAAGTACTGCTCTGATTTTCTTTCAAGGTGCCTCCATAATTATCAAATTAAAATGGTCCCAAATCTCAGACACAGACTGTTGTGCTTCAGACAGCCATTTAATCTCCTCACTATGATCAGTTGAAGGTTTAGTTTAGTGTTTGATCTCCAAAATAGAAGGGAGGATATATATGATCCAATTTCTTCAATTTTTAATGGTTTACAATCTGCTTGAAACTTAACCTTTTTTGGTTCCTTAAATTTTCTTTTTGGAGATTAAGATAGCTTGTATAACAGAGAAATTTCTGATCAATTTCTTTTTTCTTGATTCTATCGGTGAAATTAAAAGTTTAGTATTTTACCAGACTACCATGATTGGTGACATGTTTTATCAATTTTTATAAATCTAATTCAGAACACCAACTTTTTTTTTTTTTGTTCCATTGAAATGATTCCAGGATTTATCTAGTTATCAAAATATGAACTTGAAGGAACCACAGTTAAAAAACAGAATGAATAATCCTTTGATCAATTTTTTTTCAAATAATACATACTATTACTATGCTAATGTGGCTTTAATTGGCTACCTATCATCTAATTAAAATGAATTACCTAACTGGCTAAAGTACGTTTTGTACTTGCTGCTAAACCTGACTAAGATAAATGGTTAGTACTTGATACACACCAAAACTTAGCTCCAGCTTTAAGTTTTTTTCTTTTTGGATAATTAGTAGATTGATTCTTTTATAGTTTTCAGCTGCTTTATCTCCTATACTTGATCAATCTGTTAACAGCAACTGCTTTAAGGGTAACTTTGATTGCATATAAGCTTATTATTACAGTTGAAAAATTAAATATCCCTCAACTCCTCAATTTAATGCATCCAAGTTTTGTAAAAAAAGTTAAATGATCAAAATATAAGATTCTAAAATCTGCCCAGCAGTGTGTGTGTGTATCAGTATAAAAATCGATGGTTGCAAATTACTTAGCCCGGTAAATAGCTAGTGGATATGTGATATAATTATTTATGGACTGATCATCAACTACATCAAATATTTCAATCAATGTATAAATGCAAATCAAAGTGGAAGATGAACACTGACAAGCAAATAGAATTTTCTTTGTTTTTTTTTCCATTAAATTTTCTTATAAATCTTCAGAGGATTGGTAAATTCCCAACTTCCATTTTTTGTTTCCGGTTTTCTATTAATGATCATATGATCAACAAAAACTGCATCCTCTGACTGCTGTACTCTCTTCTTTTTTTCTTGTTTTCCTATTGGAAGAACCCCATTAATACCATAGCTTCCATTGATAGACCTTGAGTACTGCTTCATAGATGCCTCTTCCAGATCCCAATCCTGGTATCAAATGAGTTTAACGAATTTGAAAGTAGACTAGCAATGAGGCCATGCATCCTTTATTTAAAGCTAGTGTTGTTTTATTTAGACATGATGTTATGAAAGTGTAATAGATGAATATCTTTACATGTGGTTTCTAATTTGGTTGAAACTTTTACTGGTTTTGTGTCAGTTTGCGTTACCTCATTAATTGGGAAACTTTGTCGTTCTTGTTTGCTGGTTAGTGGTGATCTAGAAAGAAAAAGCCTGGCTGACAATTAAAATGAAGTAGTAGCTGCCATGGCTATAGCAAAAACAAACAATAAAAAAACTGAAGAAAGAAATGTCAGAATTGAAAGCAGAGACCTTAACAATCTGTAAAACCCCTTCTAGTATCACTTTCAACACTAAGATCTCAGCTATCATCAGCATAACCCAGTTATTGAATATTGACAAGAGTGACAGAAAGAGAGAGATTCATATTCCCATGGCCTATTGTAAGAGGAATAATGGACTGTGGATATGGATATATTATATATATATATGTATAATATCTACTGATACACAGCAACATATGTATGGAATATGAAATATGGAATATATAACATCTTTAAAAATTGGGAAATAAAAAAAATTTAAATTCACTTTAAAATTTTTCACTAAACACTTTTTTTTTATTGATAAAATCGATAAATTCATCGATAATTTTTATTATTATAAAGGAACAAATAAAAAAAAATCATGATCCATCAATGAATATATTGAAGATAAAAATCACAAATGGACGGATTATCTTAGGGATTGCTAATTTAGGAAGCGCATCTAATCCAATTCTTGTGTTTACTTTATTTTTTTTCTGTTAGGTCTCTTTCTCTTCTGCTTATGCAGTCAATTACTCTCCTATTTCGCAGCGAAAGCGACTGCGCCAAACCCTAGAAGAACAAAAAAAAAAAGAAAAAGGGTGGTTCTGGACATGATCAAACTCGTGGAAAAATGCGCTCTGCGTCAATAATACGAAAGGTACGCAGCACAGAAAGTGAACTACCGCACCCTTCAACCATGACTGAATATTATCTCAATATATCTCAATATATATATATATATATAAAGATTAAGGAGAGATTAATTTATATCGGAATAAAATTTTTAATTTTATATTTTTAAAAGTTAATTTTAATAGATTGAAGCATTGAAATTAAATTATTTTTTTGATTATTTGAATTTGTTTAAATTAATAGTTAGAAAAACATATAAAATAAAAAATTTTACATTAATATAAATTAATCTTACTTCTTTATAAATTTATATATATGAGCGATTAACTTGCACAATATAAATTTTTTTTAATTTTACATATTTTTAATTATTGATTTTAATAGATTCAAATATGATATTAAATTTTTTTTTTAATTTTACTTATCTCTCTCATTCTTAGATTTATTAAAATTAAAAATTAAAAAAAAATTTAATTTTTTTTAATTTTACATTATATAAAGTGATCTCTCCTTATATTTATACATATACATGCAAATATGTAAGTTTGATATTTAAATTTTAATTTTTGCAAAACTTTTCTTTATATATACTCAATGCTACGGATTTTTTTTTTTTTTACAAAAACAAAAATGCACGAACACGCGTGACATTAGGTTGTAATCACTACTACACGTAGGGCAGCTCTTTTTTTTTTTTTTCCTCATAGTTGGTTGCTTACTTTCCAAAGCTGAAATTTCGTGGATTTCTCAAAGATGATAGCTATGATAATTGTATATTTCTATCATATAAAATATTAAAATTTTATATAAAAATTATATATTACAATTCGTGTTAATATAAAAATATAAAATAATTTTTATTTTGTCAAATTTATTTATAATTTTTATTAAAATTTTAAATCGTATTATTTTTATATTTTTTATTTATATCATTTTTATATCGTATCACCGTATTGTATTTGAAATTATTATATCTAAAGATAACAAAAAAAAATTGATCTATAGTTAGGATATTTAATTCACTCTTAATACATAAGTAACATTAATTCAAGCTAGATAGTAGTGTGCCTAAAACTATTAAAAAATTTTGTGAAAATCAATATATGAAATCCATAAATAACTTGAACATCAATTGTAAGTAGAAAGGTTAAAAAAATAACAAAATAAATCGTGATATAGATGCTTTTATCAAGCAATAATTGCTTAATTACTTAACAAAAATAAAATCGCATGCCAAAATATAGTTATCCATTAAGTCTCACTATTGATTAATTATAGCAAAATTATTCTAACAACTAATTAGGAAAAATTAAAGCTATATATTTAGAGGAAATGTCCAATATCAAAAGATTTTTTTTTTACTTTTAATAATAAATGTGAAAGAATGTAAATGGTGGTTGTTTTAAAAAAGGGGGATTTTCTTAAGGAAAATTAAAAAAAAAAATTAAAGTTATAAGCACATCCTAAAAATTAAAATTTTTTGACCTTTTGGGTTGGAATATATGTTATGTGATTTTTTTTTTTTGGTGACATATTTTATTAAATTTTTTAATGATAATTGATGAAATATATGAATTTAAAAGATCCCATTTACATAAATAAAAATAAAAATATTGCATAGTGCATTTTACTCATTGAAAGCTAAGGAGACAAACCATTTATCAAATATAATTATTTAAAAAGGTAATTAATGATTTCTTAGTGAATACAGAGGCTGTAAAGGAGGCAAAAATTAACTTGGTGTCCCTTTGTGGTCCATTATTTTTACTTTGTGAAAGTAGAACCATGCTGCAGTCTGCATTCACCATTGACCCAAACTGCAACTAACAATAACATGAATGCATCTCGAATTTCTCCAATATCAATGTACTTTAAGTTTTCTGTGGCGTAAAAAAAAATAATTTATGACTTTGTTTTGCTTTTTCTTTCATTTCATTGTCTTTGTTTTTTTTTTTTCTTTTCTTTTTGTTGGATCAGTAACTCAATTTTCATTAACTCCACTCGGAGATGCAAATTCTTACCTGTGTTTAGGGATCTTCGATACGATTAAGCCATTAAACCCGAATAAAACGGGTTCAAATAGTTATGTTTGGATATATTTGAACATGATTTTGAATAGGATACAAATTTGAGGGTTTAGATGAAATGGTTTGTAGACATTTGGTTTCGGAGCGAAACTTATTTGAAAAGTTTTAAATCCTTGCAAATTGAGAGATTTGAATTTTTTTGTTATTTTATTTCTTATTAGATTTAATTTTTATTTTTTGTTTGAATATTAAAATATATTATAAAAGTTGATCTTATTTTACAATATTGATGAATTTTTTAATCGGGTCAAATTTTTAATCGAGTATCTATTAAATAAATGATTTCGGATAATTAACTAATATCATAAACTATTTTGGTTAGGTTATGAATAATTACAATAAATTTTTAATAAGTTATGGATATGTAATTAATATTAAACGATTTTCAGTTATTGAATATACGGTTACCATCACTACTTTTTTTTTTTTAATTTAAATATAAATGTATCAATTCATTGTTAAGATGTGAAGCAGAAATAAATTGATGCAAAATTTATTTTGAAATCTGAAAGTAAGCCGAAAATTTTTGAAACTAAAATTATGGTAAATGTAAAAATCTGTAAATTGGAAATTATTAAACACGTAAAAACCTAGCTTAATTAGGCATGTAATTATGTATACAGGAACAAGGCAGAGAGGGTAGAAAATAATATGTAGCATTAGTAGAATAGGACGGCTATTTAGCATGTAGTGGTGGTGTTATGGTGCAGTTGGATGAGTGGTTAGAGATTTAATTAATCACACTAATCAAGTTAGCATGGCAGTCTTAATTGTAATTTATGGCAGCTTGTTAAGGATAACTAACTTGGCTTTTTAAATAATAATAATAATCAAATTTAAATTTTAATTCAATTAATTTATATAATATATCTTTAAATTATGATATTTAATATATTTGAAATCAAATGCAATCCCTAAAGTTTGAAGTCAAATATAATCTCTTTTTCTATCCGCAATCTTCATCCTTTATTAAAAAATAAATAATAATAATAAAAAAAGAACCGTCTAGGCTTTTTTCATTGAAACTTAAACTTATACTCTAAAAAAGAAAAAGGTATTCAGTACCAAAATAAAAAGAAAAGGGTATTCTAATTCCATGGCTTAAAAATGATATAGAAAATGAGCAATTAATTTGAATCTTTGAATTCAATTTTAGTACTTTTCGATTTTTAATTTATTATTTTTTTCACTTTTCGATAGATCTGATAATATAAAACACAACAATTAAAATAAGATAAAATTATATTATATAAATACAATATAAAAATAAAATACAAAAATAATGTAATTTAAAATTTTAATAATAATTATATATAAGTTTAACAAAATCATACAAATATATATTTCATATTTTCGTATTAACGTAAAATTTTATATATAATTTTCGTATAAAATACGATATAAATATATAAATTTTAATATTTTACGTAATATAAATACATAAATTTTAATATTTTATATGACACAAATACATGAATTATAAAATCTATTTTTCGTTTACTCAAAATGGTTGATTAAGGAAGCATTAAGCTTGTCGCAACCCATCGTAGGCCCAAGTTTTGTTCACAGAAAGAAAAAAACAAACCAGGTAACTGACAGAAATGATAGCGGCATTGGATCGACCAGCATTTGGGCCAAGAGAATATTGGGCTATCCTATGAGGCTTTTTCTGGCCTATTGTGATGTTATAAAAATTACTCCAGATTATCATGTTTAGAAAATCATAAAAGCTTGAAGAAGTCAATTAAATCATCCATCACCCAACTGCAGTCGCATCTGGATTTATAAATACATGTTGATTAACAGAATAAACCCACAAAATAAACAAAATCCAGGCAACTATCCTTATTAATGTTGGAAACCACATCCTCTTTAACTTCAAGAGTCTCAAGAAATTGCTATTGCTAACATGGCCTGCATTTGTTCCATGACAAGCCAGCAAGAGTGAAACAGAGGGAACTGGTGCACGCTAAATTTTGCCACAGGTTCTCAGAGGCCTGTTCACATGCCAGAAATATTTTTAAAGTCAATAATATCATCTTGGAACAACAGAAGCATGTGAAACAAGCTCGATGAGATTACTAGTGCGAAGGGTTAATATAACAACCAAGCCTTTTCCAACTACATGAGGTAAGCTATATGGACAATATTGCATCATTATGCTCTATTTATTCTTTACAACTATATCCTCAGTAAGCTTAGAAAACGTAGGGTCCTTTTTCATAGGTCAAATATGAATTTAAGTTGAAATAAAATAATAAATAAACAAGTTCAGAAAATCAGGTGATAAAATGTAGCGCATTTAAATATATTGAATAACCCCATACTTACAATTTATAAACAGTGGTATAAAATCACGCCACCAAGGAATTTCAAGAATGCGGCCACCAAGTATTAGGAATGTCATGACACTTATAGTATATGGTTGGTATAAAATCCAAGATATACACATGCATCCTCCACCACCCATGATAGAAATGCTTGAGTGCAATTTACATTGCATTTCAATCAAGAGAGAGAGAAAGATCACTTTACATAATAGATCCAATCTCTATAGAATGTAAACACTAAGAAAATGCAGACAGATCTATAACATTTTCTGCTAGCATAGGAGGTTCAGAAAAGAAAATTGGCCACAGAATCTGACAAGGCTATCACAACAAAGATTCACCATTGCCAAGATCAATAACTAATACCCAACCTACTTTCCAGCAAATGCAGGTATAAGAATCTTATTGTCTTACCCTAAAATGTGGTAAAGACAACAGCCTTCAAACAATTGCAGTGGAAGTTTTTTGGGGGAATACTACAGGCATTTAACGTCTGCAGCAGTTGGTGCACATGGTAAGGCCTTTTTCCCCGAAGTTTGATAAGATTTGACATTAGGTCCATCCATACTCCCACCCCATGCTGCTCCGTACAACTTGAGCTAATGCCCAGGGTAAAAACTTGACTCATGCTTTTTCTTTCTTTTTTTTTTTTTTTTTTAAGATAAATGAAGATATTGCACTAAAATGCACCAAAGACATGCCAACCCATGTACAAGGCTAGTTGAATCAAAACAAAATGCAAATCTCCTAGAAGTATAGTACATTACCTTCAAATTTAGCATCCATATACCACCATCTAAATCTCATGATAACCCTAATCCCACCCAAAAGAAAACTTCCTTAAGCCTGATAGAGTAGGAAAACTTTCAAGATCACACTCAGAATACCTCAGGCATCCTAAATCTTAAACACCAAATCACTCCCACTCAAATTCAAACCCACTGGCACCACCCATCCCCATCAAAAACCAAACATCATAAAAATTAAACAAAGCAGTATCACCCATCTTGCCAAGAAACATTGCCTAAAACTCGGGGAGAGAGAGAGAGAGGTATTTCAACCTGGCCCTAATTAACTTCTTCAAACTCAAATCAAAAGAAAACCAATCTACATTTAAACTCATAACTCTAAAGCCTTGAATAAGTATTCCAAAAAAGCATTATATCAATTAGAAATCAACAAAGCAACTAATAACCTTAGAAGTCATCTATTCCAATACTTTCACTTCTGCATAATTCATATAGTAACTCAAATCAAGCTTCAATCAAATTGCACCTAAATCCCAGTTGGTAAAAAGCCCAAATCATACATATTACATAGTGGAAAACCAATCATTACCCACATCTCAAAACATGAAAATAACCAGTACCCAAATCTTTAAATCATCGAATTCATAAAAAAAAATGAGAGAGAAAAGAACAATACCCTCAGCTAATAACATAAAAAAATAGCTAATAAACCATCAAATTGAAAAGGAAATAGGAGTTCCAAAATCTTACCTATTTCTGGTAACCTCCACCAACAGCATTCTCATCCTCTTCAACTTTAGCAGTCAAGTAAACCCTAGGAAAATCATTAACATCAAAGGTTTTCTCTTTCATCATCTTCTCCACGTCAGCTTTCTTCAAGATGGTGCGGCGTATAGGAGGGCGATTGCGGCGTTGATCGCGGGTGTAATATTTGATGTCGAAGACAGTTTCGGGATCGGAGGTTGGGACGATGGGCTTTTGCAAAGTGGTGGCGGGGCAGCGAATACGGTACTCCGTCGCTTTTGGCAAAGCGTTTTTGTATTCTGGGTCGGCGCAGGGTCCGGTTATCTCCCATGGCTTCTTGATGTAGCGTTTCAGGCTTTGGAAGATGGAGCTGCTTGCTTTCGACGCCATTGTTAATTTCACTCTCACCACAGAAATTCAAAGACGGACTCGGTTTGGTGAAATGTCCAGACTCAAGAATTTTAGCCTTTGCCTATTACTTCTTTTTTATTGGCTAATACTAGTTCATTTGTTAAAAATATATATATATATATATATATATAGTAATACACTAAAGACAATTCTGGCATATATATATATATATATACTGAAAACAAAGATTTAATGCTCATTTTAATTTTTAACATCTAACTAATGTTTATCATTCTTATTTTTTATTTATTTGTTTCGGAGTTCGGAATATAAAAAAAATATAAGTGTTGCAAATACGATTTTAGTTTAGCAATAAATTTTTTTTAAAAAAATTTTGTGATGTTTTGAATGTTATCATTATTCTAGTTTATCAGTTGATTATTTAATAATTATAATTTAATTGTAATGTAATAGTCAATTATTTAATTAATTATATAAATGTAATATTTAATTATAATTGTAATTTTCTGTGTTGCAATTTTATAAAAAAATTATAATATTAAGATTTGAGTTATATTTTTATTGGATTTTTTTAATTATAATATGAAATAATCAAATTAAATTTTGATTTCATCATTTTTATTCAAAATAGAGTTAAACAAAATGAAGGAACAAATATTTTTTTAATTTGGAAATGTGGATTCAAATGGATTCTTTAAAAACAAAAAGAAAATGATCAAATATATTCAACAAACCAAAATTTCAGGAACATTATTTAATGAATAATTATCTTGTTAAGATATTCTTCCTAATGAACTATTATTATAATTTAATTTTAATAAAAATATTTGACTAATAATTTAATTTAGAGCATTAAATCTTTATTCAAAACTATTGAAATTATTTTCTATCCAACTTGTTATAGCTCTATTTTAAAATATATAAAATAAAAACAAGAGATTCATTTTCAATCCAACTGAAAAGTCCTTCTCATAGAAAAGATAGGGAAAGAGTCATACAAGTTAAATATACAAAATTCAACGCAACAAAAATTATTGAGTCCTGTTAACAACCCAATCATTATCACCAAAGGAAAAATGGATCAACATTTTTTAATGATTTGTATGGGAAAATAAAGATTTAATCCATTAATCATATATTAAACATAATTTTATTTAAACCCGGATGTCTATAAACTAATAAATAAAAATTATTTAATTATTATTTTAAATAATTTTTATATTAATATATTATTTTTATTAAATTAATAAAAAATAATATGAATCATTTGCATTTATAACAAAAATATAATAATACATTAAATTAAAAAAATTAAATAATATTTTAATTGAGAGACCAGCTTCGAAGAAAGGGAATAATGGAAAATAGAAAATGGACCCAAAAAAGTAAAAAAGAAAGGAAAAAAAAAAAAAAACCAATTTTCATATTTTAATTTAAGCATCTTTCTTTGGCCTTGCTATTATTCTTCACATTTCCTACTTACTACGCATATTGTCATACGCTTTGAGCTTCTCTCTCTGCTTTATTTCAAAGCTCACAGATCTCTCTCTTAATCTCAAATCACCCACGAATCAGGTACATCTGATCTTACTTTCCCCATATCTTTCATTCCAATTGATCTGTGTTTGATCGTTGTAGTCACGATGTTTGATTGATCTGATAATCACCTGCAAGATCGTGCTTTTAAGTTGATTTTGGTTGTTAAATCTGCTTCACACTATTCTTTTCTATGAAGGGTTTTGAGGATTTCCTTGTTTTTTGATTAAAGGGTTTATTTTGTTTTTCTTTTGAATCACTGTCTTAATTGTTTTAGATATAAAGAACTATGACTATGCCTTTATTTTCAGTGATGGGTTTGTTTTCTGACTTGTTTTAGCTTTGTGGTTTTGGAATTGCTTGAGAATTGTTAGTGTAGCATTTAATGGTGGAGCGCTTATATAGAGAACTAATTAATTTCTATTCTTTGACATAAACCAGATTTATGGGGAAAAGGTTTTGTTTCTTACATCTCTAAGTCCTAATGTTCTGCTTTATGTTGGTCAAAGTTGTCTATGCTGTTGAATATCTCGTATTTTGTTTCTTGAGCTTTTGACTAATTTTTTATGCAAACATTTTTTTGATAGTTTCTCTTAATGTTTAGGGTTGTTTCTAAATATTGAGTAAATAAAGTGCTTTTCTTTTGTGTTTTCTTTTTATTCTCATGAAAGATGGAGCAGCGATCCTTTTTGTTCATTGTAATTGTGCAGTTGATTGTCTTTCTTTGAAGCGTTATTTATAGATTCCTTGAACCTATGTGCAGATGGCCATGCAGGAAGGAAGTCCTGCCCATACTCCCAGTGCTCAAGTTGTTGGAAATGCTTTTGTAAAGCAGTATTACCATATTCTTCACCAATCACCAAATCTGGTGCATAGATTTTATCAAGATTCTAGCCGTTTAAGTCGGCCAGATATGTATGGCAACATGACAACAGTAACAACCATGCAAGTAAGTCTGTTAGGAGTTAAGATAGCTTCCAATATGAACGGGCATGATTATATTATTTTGAAGAATTCAAAGTATATGGCCTCTTTCATTTTCTACCTAGGTTATTCTCGTCTGCTTGAATCCTGCTTCGTGCAGGAGATGAAGCAGTTAGACTAAGTTGATAACAAGTTATTGAGAATAATTGCAAAGAATATTTGTAATTTTTTTATTGAGAAGTTCACTTTTCACAGTTATCTGAAGCAATTGAAACCTTGGGTCACACTTTGTTTGTCTATTAGGTACAGATGTTTAACTTTAGTAATGGATATATTTTCAAGTGCTTGTTTCTGCAGACTCTTATGTCTTATATAATAATTATTATATTTGATAAACTTGAATAGACATTTTCTTTTAACTGTAACTTAGCTTGAACATGGCTTTGAGTTAGAGTGCACTGATATTTGCTTTGGAGCAGGCAATTAATGAGAAGGTACTATCGCTGAAATATGAGGACTATACAGCAGAGATAAAAACCGCAGATGCTCAGGAATCTTATGAGAAGGGGGTCATTGTACTGGTAACTGGATGCTTAACTGGGAAGGACAATGTGAGAAAGAAATTCTCACAAACTTTCTTTCTAGCTCCACAAGACAAAGGCTACTTTGTCTTAAATGATGTTTTCAGATATGTTGAAGAGAAAGAGTTGCAAAACTCTGTTCCAGTTAATGGCGTCAGTGAACAGGCTTCAACATCTGCCTTGACACCAGCACCAGGTGTGGCCTGATTCTTTTCTTTTTATGCATTATGGTTGAATTTGCTTTACACTTAAATCCTAGAATTGCATTAATGTTTGCTGGCAGAGCCGACTCATGACCATCTTGTGGAGAACCCATTAACTTATCCAGAAGAGGAAGATATTGATAATGATGCTGAAGTTTGTGACCCCTCAGATAAGGAGGAAGGGTCAGTAATTGAAGAAGAGGTTGTTGAACCCCAAAACATTGCAGATCAGAATGAGAGTGTAGCGGCCTTTGATTCAGCTGTTGTGGCTCCAGAGGATACTCCAAAGAAATCATATGCTTCAATTGTGAGTTAACATTAATGGTTTTTCCTTTTTCTATTAATGTTTTGGTGGTTCTTTTGATGTTTGATTGAGCTTATTGAATTATATTAGGTCAAAGTAATGAAAAGTAATACAGCATCTACTCCAGTCTATGTTCCTACCAATAATGTGAGGGCAGCACCTGCAGACCAACAGTCAATTGTATCCACAAAACCTGCTCCAGCACCAGAGGCAGCAATACCTAACAGTGACAATGCACCTGAAAGTAGCAATGACAATGAGGAAGGTAGTTGCTAACTTCGTTTACTGCATACTTGCATGATAATAGAATCACAGTTGTTATCTTTATCAATGAAGTTAGATCCATAACTTTTCTATTTTAATTAATAAAGATATCGATTAAGGGTGTAAAGAAGGCGTAGTTGATTTGGCATGGTTAATGTTTATGTCTTATGTATTTTTCCCTTTGATATGTCTTCATGGATATTCTTTCTTGTTTTAAAATATAAATCTCATTTGTTTTGGTCTTCCCAAAGCTGAAGGATACTCCATATATGTACGGAATTTGCCTTACAATGCAACACCTGCACAACTTGAGGAGGCATTCAAAAAATTTGGGCCCATTAAGCGCGATGGTATCCAAGTTAGAAGTAATATGGTTGTAACTCAGATACCAACTTGGAGTTCTCCTTCCTAGTTGACATTTCTAGTTCAAGCTCTCAGTTCTTACTGTTTTGTGATTTCTTGCCTCCTGCAGCAGGGATTCACTTTTGGTTTTGTTGAATTTGAGACCGCAAGTTCAGTGCAGACTGCACTTGAGGTATGGTCATATCTTTTATCATTCATGTTATAAATCTGGTGCTGTATGATCACTGTCATAACTCATAAGTCGCCCTTCCATTCAATTACTTACATGACATTTCATAATTATAGTCTATCAAACACATGCCATATGTTAGGCAAGTTTTGCTAAGTTATTCCTCTAAAAATTATTGTTACTCTAACAGTGAACTGAAACAGCAATGTACTCATTAATGGGGTTTAGGATCTCTTCAAGTTTACAATTATGTCAAACCTCCCCAATCCCCTAGCTTGTACTAAAATACAAAAATAAGAAACTAGAAATAAAACCCAAAACTAGATCAATGTCTTCTAAGTTGCGGTATGATTTTATGGGTCACTCAAAAATTATCTTATTAGATGACTTTATCTAGAACTTTCTTCAAGAAAACTCTACCTTTTATGTAGTTTGTTGAATCAGCTGGTCTAAAATAATAAATCCACCTTGGTCTGGTGTCTCCTTCTCTTCGTCTGTTACTTTTGGACAGTATATAGACATGAAAGAGGGACCTTGTACTTGTACATTTAGATAATCTCCTTAACCTTATATTAGGTCATTTTTCTGTTTTTAACCAATTTGCAGCCTTGTTGAATTAAGTTGGAAAGTTGAAAGCTTAAACTGATTAAATGTTAACTAATGTTTTATGGATGCCATAAAAAATTCACATAAATGAGTTTTCCCAGTCTACTCTAAGGTCCTAAATCAAAGGTTTAATTACAATGTTTTCTCCAATTTTTGCCTCTTTTCTCAACTGCATCTGATTGCAAAGTTAATATGATGCTAATCAGAGACCTCAATTTTACATTGAAATTTTGGAGATGTAATTGAAATTCAGGTGATACTTCCTAAATGAACTTTGTAATTAATCCACATATCACATTTCAGTAGGCATCAGATTCACTACTTAAGGTTTCTTTTTTCCTTTTTCTTTGGGGGAAGGTGGGTGTTGTACTGAAAATTTAAAAAAAAAAAAAAAACAATTTCTTCTAGGGCTTTTTTGTTTAAACAGATTATAGGTATTTTAGTTGAATATCATTGCATTAATTCTTTTTTTTTTTTACATCCAAAACATGATGTAATTGTTTATTAACAGCTTTTTGCATAGTTCAACCTCAAATTATCTTGGTAAAGGCACAACCATATTTCTTTGTCACCAATTGTATGATGGTTTTAAAATATTCTTCTTGGCTATAAAATAGGCTAAGAAGGATTTGTAGAGTGGCTTGTTAATCTCATTCTGCCTCCCCTCGGTGTTTCTGTAAGTATATTTTTGTTTATATGCTGAATGCATTTCAGGCTTCACCAATCACAATTGGGGATCGTCGAGCAGCTGTGGAAGAAAAGAGGACAAATACTCGAGGTAATTCAAAATTTAGATGGGAAATATGCATTTTAGGTGCTGAAATTTTATTCTTTTTTTCCTAATGATATTGTTTTGCATGAATTGAACTTTTAGTTCATCCACAGATGGTACTGAGCTTAGGAAAGATATGGTCTCAAATAGGTCACTATGGTGCAATATGACCCATATAGCCGCCCATACATAGTGACAAGAGGCTTAGTTTGCTTAAGTTCAACCCTTTGTCATAGTTACTGAGCTTAAGGGAGATATGGTCTCAAATAGGTTACTGTGGTGCAATATGACCCATATAGCTCGGAAGAGGCTTAGTTTGCTGTAGTTCAACCCTTTGTCATATTTGTTCGGCTGGGGTGGGTGTTCTTCCTCACCTTATTCATATCAAATTTTCTTGCTAAACTTAATATAATCAGGGATTTACATCTAATAGTTTTAGCTAATTTGAATGGAAGCTTGAAACTTGAAAGTAATGCCGTCCGAAAAATATCTGGCTGGCATAAACAAAAACCTTTTTGTGGAACTTTGATCTTTTTTAAATGCATTTCCTCCAATAATTTGTTATTGTTATTTCTTTCTAGTTGAAAGTACTTGAAGGTTGGCAGTGTAACTTGAAAAGCTGCTTCTTTTTGCAGTTGGTAGCAGTGGGAAAGCAAGGTACACTTCAGGTAAAGGTGGCTTTCGGAGTGACAGTTTCAGGGCTCGAGGGAACTTTGGCAGTGGTCGGGGAGGCTATGGCAGGAATGAATTCAGAAACCAGGGTGAGTTTTCAGGACGACCTAAGGGTTCAGGTGGACGGAATGGAGATAATTATCAGCGGATTAATCAGAATGGAAGAGGTGGCCGTCAGGGTGGGGCGAAAGCATGATTCTATTTCTTCTTTAACATTAGCTGAGAAAGTGACCAGATGATTTTTTTGACAGTATAAACGAAGGGAATGAAGGGACTAGAATTCAAGTTGTTTTCTTAAGTGCAACTGTTTTATGAGAAGACTATTGGGCTTTTCTTCTTTCCATTTTAACTCTTTTTCCTGCCTTTTTTTTTTTTTTTTGGCCCTCCACTTGAGGCATCTCATAAAGCTCATTTGACATAGGAAAAAGGTGGTTTATTGAAGTAATGTATTCTGGATTCTTTGATCAAATTTTTGGTATTATCATGATTTTCTCCTTCGCCTAAAATCTTTCCTTTTTACGCACATTTACATTCAAATGATAGCTTCAGTGAATTGACCATCATCATTATTGGTCCATGAAACGGAAGTCACAACCATTTAGGTGATGTCTGCAAGTTGGGTACCAAATTTAGTTTGATTTCTGCAAGTTAGATACAAGATTTGATGAAGCAAAAGCTGCTGATCCACCAGCTATACAGACTGGAGCCACCGCAACCTGCAACATCACTTCCCAGAGGTTATACTCATGCACAAGGTAAACACATGAAGGACCCAAAAGAAGTAAACCCAAGCTCAAGGTCAAGAGTGCCTCCGCAGTCCCAGGGTCTGTTGCAGCGGACAGGACTCCAAACTCTAACGCCTTAGAGAGGAGACCTACTTTCTCTATTGACGACAGAGATAGCCCAAACTTCTCGGCCGCTTATAGTAGGCCAGCTTTCTCAGCTTTGGTTAGCAGTTTCAGTTTCTCCACATTTGTCAGTAGCTTCACTGGTTATATGACCACAGTGCTATTCCTTGGTTTGTTGGCCAAGCGGGAAAACAGTTGTGTTCGAGCTCTGTATTCTTACGATGGCATATCAAGTTAGAAGCTCTGTTATTGATGTTTGACAATAGTCATAACTTGTTGAGGCATTACTGAACAAAGTGAGCAAAACAATCACTTTTTGAAACTCAAATTAAGACATTGAAACATCAAGAGAAAAGCCACTGAACAGTAATACCAAAAATCCATATGGGGTTGAATTGAAAATGGACTGACATTTCTAGAGCCAACAGTTTTGGCAACCGAAGGCAATGGTTTCTCTGTTGCCATGGATTGAATGAGAAAAGGTGAGAAAGTAGCAGAAATTTGTGTTTTGGGCTTTGTTGTAATCCTAGAGGAACAGAGAAATGGACTTCCTTTACTGCTACAAACGGCTGTGGCTTCCATGTTCTTCTTTTCTTTTCGAAGTCTTCTGTTTTGAGGGTTCAAACTTTCAGCTTTTGCTCGAAAAAGAGGCCTTGATTCTTGAAAGTGCTGAAAAGAAAGGACAGAGAGGATCATGGATTGGTTTTCAATGGTTTTTATTTATTTCCCCTTTGAAAATAAAAAGGAAAATGGTATAATAAATGTGTTTCACCCTAATGATTCTTTCCACGTGTTAATTACAGTTGAAAAAGGATCCGCCTTGCTTTCAACAATAAAACCCTAAACCCCAATCCCCCTTCTAGTCTAAAAAATCTCTTCTTCTTCAGAGCAGCAATGGCGGACAACTTGATTTCTCTCGATAGGCTCAAAGCCTTCTGGCATTCTCAAGTCCACCATGAACAAACCCGGGCTCACAACATGGTATTTTATTTATCTTTTATTATTTTTTCTGCATAGTTTTCAACTTTTTTTTTGTCTTTCGTGTGCTTCAGTTCCTTTTAATGTGATTTTGATTGTAATTTTGTTTTACTGATATTGGTTTATTTTAGGAATTTATTTAGAAAATAGATTTTTATCACAAAGCCAGAAGTTATTTGTAGTTGGAACAAGTCAATAGAAAGTTATTGAAAATCTGGAATTTCTTCTTGTTTGGTGCCTTGGAAAATGTAACGCATGATCTCCATCTGAATGAATTGATATGACTTAATCCAATTGTGATTAGTTGATTATATGAATCTATCTGTTATTGTTGTACCTTAGTTCTGAAGTTGTGGATTCGGTGAAGAGAGTTCCCCAAGGGTGCAGATTGTGGGGAGGATATAACACAACAACAGTAGAAACTAAGAGAGCTTTGTAGAATATAAGTCTTTGGGTATGACCAACATGAAAAGAGATTTTGTGGAGGATAACTAATGCCTCCATTAATTGGATTTGTTGTAACATAATTCACTCTGTTTTCCATTCTTGGGACAAGTAATGGTTTTTGTGGATTATATATTAGTTGGTTATCTCAGGCTACATTGATTTTGGTGGAAACTTTCCTGGAAAGTGGTCAAAAGAATATGACCTATAAACATTGGAGCTGAAAGTTTTTGGAAGATAATAAACTCAAAAAGGTTTTCCCAAATTGATTACAAACATTCTGACAATATTTACTTAAGGAAAATTGAATGTCATTTATTTTTTTCATCTTCTCTGAAATATGCTACAAGGTTTAAATAATAGAATTAAGTAGGAGAATATGGTTTGAAGAATATATTTCAGACATTGAAAGAATGTAGCGGTGCAGAATGGTAGGTCAATTTGCATGATCTTTTGGGAAATATGCTACAAGGTTTAAAGAGTAGAATTAAGCAAGAGAACAATCAACTTCATGGCTTTTTTCAAAAAATTTCCCACCAAGGAAAGACAAACAGTGAGCGTCACCTCCCCAAACTTTGATCGACTGTATCCCCGGCTAATTCCTTCAATTTATCTGAAGTCCTTCCGGAAAAGAAGAAAATAACAGCTGCTGGATTTCAACATAGATGCCTTCTGGCGAGACATGTTCGATGGAACTACGATCCGCCCGTGTTGAAGAAAATCCTCCCAATCGTTGAAGTAAGAACGAGTAGACGGCGCATCACTAGAACTCTCTGCTCGGGCAAACCGACGAAGAGGAAGTGATCAAGTTTGATAGATTCCCCTTCTGAAACAAGAAGTTCTGGTCCTTCCGGGAGAATATCAACCACTTGACGTCCATCCGATGCATCCACTATGGTTATTTCATATCCCCCCTTTTCTTTTCGTATGATTTTGCTTACTACACCTGTTAAGGTAGAAGTGTATGTAGCCCTTCCTGTTCCAATGGTCAATTTCATGGCATCCTTCCTCCAGAATTTTGACTTTCTATTGACTTGGAATGGGGGTGATCAAATATCTGTGGCAAGCTTATGGGCAGTGTTATAAGCTCATAGACCACCATAATCACACTTAAATGACTTCTCATTTATGATGGCTATTACTGTTTGTGGTACACTTTATCTGCAGAAAGAAATCTTGCATAAATTGCTTTAAAGTGTTTAGAATTTTGTATAGACTTGGTTATTCAATTTTTTAATAACCCAATCACTTTTAGGTTCTCAAAACAAGAGTTCGATTATTTAGGTATTTATGAACAACATCAATGAAAATAGATCCCCATACATCTGAAATGTGCATTTTAATCTATATAGCCTCTTGTAATGTTCTTACACTCTTGCCCTCTGTTCACGAAAACAGTGCTCTTCGAGCAGTAATGGAATTTTAACATGCTTTTATAAGTTTATTATTCTATTACTAACCCATCTTATTAGTTGCTTCATACTTGAAATGGAAGTTCTCTTCACAGTACAATCATGCTTCTCTTCTGATGATTCAGTTATGTAATAATTAACAAATTCCATCTGCATCCTGAAAAATGATGTATGTTCTTCACCCTCTTTTGCAGAAACTGCTGCGAGCTGCTGGGTTATTTGCAGGATCAATTCTTCTAATGCGCAATTATGGCGATCTTATGGCTATATAAGGAATTAATGATGGGTTGAGAGCTTCTAAGTAATCTCATATTCTGTTACTCTGATGGCATGCTGTAGTTTTCTCTGCCATAGCAGTTTGGAAATGCATGCATTTGTTACTTATGTGCATGAAATTCAGGAACCTACTTGACAACCCCTCTCTGATATACTCAATTAAAGCTGATTTCAAACAGTGTTACTAACTTTTATGTAGCATGCTGATATATGCTTCATTTGTTCTGGAGTTGAATGAAATTCCCCCCTTTCAAATCATTGCTGAAATTATTTTGGATGACTTGTTTTAGAGCTCTGATGCATGTATCGCTTCCAAAAGGTGTCAGTTCTTGTTTTCTATTCTTAATCCAACAATGTTATTGAATGAAGCAGAATCAATTATTTCTTTTTTTTTTTTTTGGTTCTTTATAGAGAATAAATGTGAGGCAACTAATGCTTATGAACCCAATTTCTTCCATATGTTCTGCTTTTTCTGGCAGGCGGAATCTTGCAATTGATCCAACCATTCCCCACTTGGCCTGAAACATTTGAAGTGACTGTGACGCCAATCAAAGCCGACAAATTTTGCGCAGACTACATGAGATTTCAACTTTGCCGCACCGGTTCCACTCGAATGCATGCTTTACACATCTAAAATATCTAATTTTAAGCCAGGACCATCTTTTCAGATAGACCTACAATGACACGAGACAAAAAAAAACTGAATATAAATTTAGTGTAATTATATTTATATTTTAATAGTATAAATATGATTAAAATATAATATTATTTATGTTATATTCATTTTAAAAAATAATGATTCGTTTAAAATATAATATTATTTATAACATAAAAGATTTTAAATTAATTTAATTTATTTAAAATATAAATTAATAATTATATAAATTATAAATAATTAACTTTTTAATAATTCTTTGTTTAAATATTAATTTAAATTATATTTTTTGTTTAAATAAATAAATTAATCGTGTCATGTTATGTCGCATTATTTGAGTAATTAATTTGTGTAATATTATTATTCGTATATAATAATGTTAATCGTATCGTATCATATCATATTTTGTTAATTTAATTTAAAATATATTAATTGTGATATATCATATATAATATGTATCATAAATGTATCGTGTTTATGTTTAAATTATTCATGCCATTTACATTATTAAAAAAATTAATTATTTATTATAAAATAATTAATAAATATTTATAATTTAATTATCCCAAGTAATATATAATAAATTATATTTTTTTAATAATATATGTTAATATGACGTAATTGTTTCATATAATTTTTTCTTGTTTCACCGTGCTAGAAAAAGACATACGTATAAACAATAAAAATTGATAGAGATATTCATGGATTATATCATATTGAATTAGGCTTTTAAAGCTTTGTCCAAAGTTCAACTCGACCATTTCGAAATTGTTAGAACATGTAGATTAGTCAATATAACATTAAAATATGATTTTTTTTAATATTATTATTTTAATATTTTTAATATATTTTGAAATTAAAAATTTTTAAAAATAATTTTTTATTAGTAAGTTAGACATATCATGCAATATTCTTGGTTAATATAAAGTACTTTTTTATTAATAAATAATAATATCTTTTTTAAATATCTATCATATAAATCAACTCGTGAATTTTATTTTTCAAACGAAAGGCAAAAAGGCAAATGCATTTACAAATAAACTTTCATTAAACAATAAGTAAAGCATTATGATCAGATAATATATATATATATATATATAAATGAGTATACATATCATTTAAAAAAAAGTAATTAAAGATTAATACGACTCTTTTATGTAGTCTCCACTAAAAATCCAAAAATAGTACTGTTAATACAATTTAACGAACATTAATTAACAATTAACACAATTAATTATCAAGTTGAACCGAAATTAAATGAGCATTTGAGACCCAATTAACATCACAGGTACCTAACTCTACTTATGCAACCCTAAATCATTTTTATTATTTTGAATGAACAATAATAGTTTGGTTTTGCCAAGAAAAAGAATCGTATACGAAATCAACCTTATCAAATTTGGTCCATTGATTGAATTAGTAATGATTGAATAATTCATTCGTAAAGTTTATATTCAACTCTTATTAACAACAGTCTCGAATAATCTATAAATTTAATGTAAAATATTTTTTAAAATTTACGGATATTTTTTTTATTTTCAAATGAAATAACTTCCTTTAACCTAAACTATTTTGTAACAAAATGTTTAAATAATACCAAATTCGCATTGTGTTTAAAACTTAAAAAATATGAAATTGAAAATAACTAATAATCGTATAATTTATTAGTAAAATGTTAAAATTTTAACTTTAATAATTTAAATTTAAAATTTTAATGATATTAAATAAAAAATTTAAAATAACCTATACTTAACCATATTCATTATTCATTACTATCATCTTTAATATTCTACCTTTTCTTATAATTTTAAACAAAAGAATTTAATTCTTGCACATTAGACATAGTAATTCAAATACTTTAGCTTTTCTTAACTTGAGCCTTTAAATTTGAGTTAATGAGTTGAAATATGAAATGAATACTTACATAATTTTTTTAAAAAAATATAAAATAAATTTAAAAGCCAACTTCAAAATAAAATATTAAAAAATATTATTATTTTATTAAGCTTTTGTATTTTATAAGTGAAATTAAAATATTATCATTTATTTATTATTTATTTATTATTTTAAATATTATTTTAATAAATTATATGGCAACTCTTTAATATTTATGTTGATGAAAATTTTTAAACCTCATCACGATGATGCATGAAATAATTTTTTCATTCTAAAAAATAAGATTGATATCTCAAATATCATATATATTTTAATTTTATTACAATTTTAAATAATATATATTTATATATTTTTGTATTTTATCATTTTAAAATTATGAGCTCTAATGTCTTTGCGTCACATGTACTTTCATTCCACGTGGCGATTTTCCTTAAGTCCGTACTTCTATATTAGTAGACTCTCCCCACAACTTGCGCGGGCCCCGACACAGGCACGGCTGTTTATCCTTTTCCCACCCAATTCCTCGCCGTAAGCCTCGAGCTTAACGGCGCCTAATTTTATTGGTTTCTTTCTGGTGTGGTTCGCCCCATGGCAATTGTGGTTGCAACATTTATACATATGTTACAAACATAATTTATATCTTAAATTAATATATTAAATTAAAATATTAAATAACAATTTTATTAGTATAATAAATAAATATAAATATATTTTAAAAAATTATTTGATACACACAAATAAAATTAAAATGATAATACATATTTTTTAAATATATTAAAAATATTTGTTACAATTTTAATTTTATTTGTATAATTAAAAATTTTGAGTGTTAATATATTTATTTTTTATATATTTTTATAAACATTCTAAAATGAATGAAAATAAAACATTTTAAACTGATTGAATTTTAATTAAAAAAAAATCACTCTCTCAGACCAATTTCAATTTCAAAAAAAATTTCTTATCAAATCAAAAACCTCCTAATACAAATTTTTTTTTCCATGGCTCAATATATCCAGTTACGATAGCGAAGCAGAGAAGCAGCCAACCCAACCTAAGAGGATTTTTCCGCAACACAAGGTGCGTCACGCTGTTGACACGTGTTCGAAACTGCATCACAAAATACAAGAAAAACGCATATTTCTCCCTCCAATTTTAGCAAACGCCAGCTTTCCTCCACGCTGCTTCCCCAATCAGCTCACCGCAATCATGCTCTCATCTTTGTATGCAGAGAAAAGATTATCTAAAATGTCTTTAATTTTTTATTTAGTGATCAAATAAATCTTAAAAAAAATATAAAGTTGAACTTCAACCTCCTTTTTTCTCCCTTTGTTGAAAGATTTTACTTCTTTTGAAATAAAAAAATATATATAAAATAATTATTTTATGTTAATATATTTTTATTAAATTATATTAATAAAAAATTTTAATTATTTAATATATCATATTGAATATATTAAAATAAATATTTATTACTTAATTATTACATGTGATATATAATAAGAAATTAATTTTTTAATAATATAATTATACAACATAATTTAAATAAAAAATATTTATTAACGTGAAGTAATTATTATATATAATTTTTTTATTTATCATATTTATTTAAAAGTAATCATTATTTAATTTTATCATTCATATATTTAATTTTAATAAATTAATTTGTAACGGATGTAAACTTAAGTAGTAAAAAAAATTATTTTTATTTTGTTTGAGTTCGATTAACTGAAACATTAAAAAAAAAATGTAATTTTTCATGAATTCTTAAAATTTTGCATAAATAAATCTATATAAATGAATGTGAAAAAAAATTGATGAAATCTAAAAACCCATTTCCACCGAAAACAATTGATCATTTTAAAACAAATCCATAACCAAAAAAAAAAAATTCCTATTAGTATTAATAATTGCTGTGAAAAAAGAAAGTGAAAAAATCTAGTATACTTATGAAGGAGTAAGTACATCGAAATAGTGGTTTTGTGAGGGTAGTTTTGAGTTGCTAATCCTACAATTTGTAGACATATGAAATTACAAACAAGTTCCAGAACCAGACAATGAAGTTCAGAGAAACAGAGAGTGAAACAGGATTTTTTTTTTTTTTTTTTTGTAAAAGTAGTAAAGTACTCTTGTCTTCCGAGTGAGAGTTGATTCTGCTGCAAGCAGAGAGAGAAGAAGAAGGAAGAAGAGAAGAGAAGAGTAACCGTACATGACATCTTCCATCCTTTCTCTCTCTCGCTCTCTCTCCACGGATAACCACGTGTGGTCTTTCTGAGCTGTGCTGTCATCTATATAATCACAACAAATGTGTTCCCCACTTGGTTTTGTATGAAAAATTTGCAGAAGAAAAAGAAACGCTCTTCTCTCTCTTTCTCAATCTCAATCTCAAATCAACTCTTCCACAGTCTCAGTTGCTGCTACATTCCCATGTAAAAGCTTTATCTTATATCTGGGTTTGCCACCTTTTTCACTGTTGCTTTCTCATTCTCTTCTTTGTATGCTCTTTTTTACTGATATTTCAGGTGCACCTTATTTCAGCCTGCTTTTCTTTGTCAAATTTTTTTACTTTAATGCAAAGCTTTTTTCTTTTACTGTTGATTTTGGACTACCTGTTGGCTGTTTTGTTAGCTTTTAGTTGGTTCCTCTCAAATTATCAATCTTTCACTCTTGATTTTGGTCTTTCTATTGAATTTTGTGAATCTATCTTTTCACTGATACTTTGGCTTTTTCTTCGACAGTAATGGGAGAAGCAAAATTAATCCAGGAGATGGTTTATCAAACCAACTTTTCATTACAAAACAATCAACAACCTACAAACCTTGTTCAAATTTTTTCAACAGACAAACTTTCTAAGAAACAAACCCAAGTCGACAATTCCAAGAGACCCCTACACCCAGAACTAGACCTCAATCTCAGGCTCTCACTTGGTGGAATTTACAGTGGAAACAACAAAGAAAAGCCTTTAACTAGATCCTCTTCCATACCAGGAGTGGTGACCCTTAAGAAGATCAATTCCAGTGAGTTGGAAAAGTCGTTGCCAAAAGGTTTTCTTTCATTGGCAAGGTCTTGTTCATTGCCTTCAGAAGTGGAAAGGAGTAGGAAGCTGGTGAATGTGAAGAAGCTAAGGATAATGAGGAGAGTTGAGGCCAAGAAAAGGGTTGTGGTGAGGCAGAGGAATGCCAACAAAGCTAGCGACAAAGAGAAGTTGATAATGGAGGGACCACCATCTTCACCTACTAAAATTCCTGCTTGGGCTGCAGCTTCTGCAGCTAAAAGTCCTGCACTAAACAGGGCCATTGATAAGATAAAGGAAGGTTTCAGAAATTTGGAAGGTACTATGATATTTTATTAGTGTTTGTTTATTTTTCATCTTTTGATAGAAATTAATTCTGATGATGATTTTTATTTTATATGCTCTAATTTTGGCATTCAGTAGGCTTGGAATATCGTAATGTTGGATTACAGTAGGATTCTAGATGCATTTAAATCTGTTAAAGATCTAGTTTCTTAGGAAAAAATTGAACATAGTCATGTTACCCATATTTGACACTCACTTCAGAGTAACAGAGATAGGGGGTCAAAGTTTTCTACAATTGCAGGGTTATAAGAATCTCAAATAGAATTTTAAGTTTTATAACACTCTGAATTGGACAACTTCTTTGTTTCAGACGAGTATGTATGCATTAAAATTATGGATCATTTATGATGATTTTCTTGGAACATATTGATTGATTCAGAAGTGATTGTACTTGAAATTCTCAAAGCTGAAAAGATTGAAGAATTTTGCATATACTACTCTCATGAATCATCTGCAGGTCTTCTGTGTTAACTTTCCTACATATTTGAACCCCAATTCTTTGATCAGTTCGATCAATTTGACATACCAGAAAAGTTTGTAGAGCTTTAAGAACGGTTAGGTGTGGTTATGCATTACTTTTTGTCCCTTCAGATATATGTTGCCCTTGTCTTTTTTAGTCTGATCACCATCTGTAAAATGTTGTTCAAGTTACATCTTTATGGCCTGTGGAAAATGAGAATTTTGCAGTGGAAAATAGCTTTCTGATATGGCTTTGGAAGTGAAGTTCTTGCTTTTGAAGCACTAACACTTTTTTTTTTATTTTCTTGCCTCGTATCACTTTCTTTTTCTCGATCTCTAGATATTTTTGCCTGAACGATACTGAAATTAGATTGCATAAATTCAATGTAGGACTAGAAGACAACGGTACTCATAAGGGTCCAAGCGACTCCAAACAATCCTTCAAGCCAGTAAAGGCAGAACCGGTGATCTTTTCTGATAGAACATCTAGTGGAAAATCTGTCAAGCTCAAGCCTGATGAAACTAAGTCTGAGAATCCAACCAAGAAGGCTAAACTTTCAAATGGTTATTACATTCAAGATGATGGGATGGATGTGATGAAAAAAATGCCTAGTGTAACTACCACTGGAGATGGTCCCAATGGGAGGAAAATAGAAGGCTTTCTATACAAATACATGAAAGGACAGGTGAGTATAGTTTGTGTTTGCCATGGCAACTTTCTTTCCCCGGAAGAATTTGTGAAGCATGCCGGCGGCAAGGATGTTACAAACCCCATGAAGCATATCAACGTTTGCTCAACCTCTTTTTCCTACTGAGATCATTGGTGGTGGCTTTTTTTCACCACCCTCCTTGAGATAGGAACCAAAACTTTTTGAGAAGCTAGCCCTTTGTTTTTCTTCTTGTTCTTGCCAGTCTTTGGTTTGAAGAAAAGGAAAATAAGCTTTACTTTTCTTCTCCTTGTTTAAGGACTCGAGTAATAAGTTTCTTGGTATGGAAGTGTAGGCAGCTTTATTCATATTGGCTTGGCAATAAGTAGCATAGCTTTGGGCCGATACATAGACTTGAAAGATAATCCCTCTGATCCATAAATTATGTTCTAGTTTAATTTTTAAGATAAAAATTTTTTTAATTTTGATTTCATTTTATTTTAAATATCGTTAATTAAAATATGAAAAAATATCTTCTAAAACCTTTGAATGAAAATGTTTGAAAGTCTACACTTATATTTAAATTGTTTAGTATTCAACACACCCAAGTTTATTTCTCCCAAGATTTTTCCAATTTTCCACCAATTCAGCAGTCAACCTGCTGATGCCTGCCAACCAAGTTTATCCAAATTTTAAAAAAAAAAAAAAAAAAACCCATTAAAATTAAACAATCTCAATCACCATTGGATTGCCATAATCAGATACCGAACTCCCTTTGACAATGGTATTCTTAAGAAAAAAAAAACACGTACTTTAGAAGGAATATCCTCCGACGTACACGCAGATCCACGGCATCTGATGTATGAGACTACATCATATAATAAACCCAGAAACACCTCGCCTTCACATCTCTCATGTTCGTGGAACACTTCAACTGAGGACACATCGTCACTTCGGGACAAAACAAACTACTATATAGTTTAAGAAATAGAAACAAAGGATCATTCCATAGACAGGAGGATTTGTTTTAGGTCGAAAGCAATAACTTAACATGTAAGCTTTGAGCTTTTCATTTTTAATCATGTTGGATTTGCTTGTCTTAACTTTTCTGGGTCAATGTTGTTTTTGAGTTTCCCTGTTCATTAGTTTGATTGTATTGTTTCTGGGTTTTGTTTTTTTGAGGTTTTTGTGCAGCTAAGATTGTTTATTTTCAGCCTTTGTATAATGCAGTTTTTTTTTTTTCTTTTCTGGGTTTTTCAGTTAATATGCAAGAATTTTTTTTTCTTGTTTTCAAGTTTTCTGTTGTATTTTTTCCATTAATATACTGTTGGCTGTTGCTGGTTTTTGGGACGTAATCTTGATCCAGTAAACTTTTTTTTTTTTTCATTTTTCCTCTTCTTCCTATCTCATAAGTGGAAACTGATTTCTCCACCTTTTGTTTCATAGAAGATATGAGCACAAGGCCTACTGCATGAGATTATAGCATTTGATGTTGTGTTACTGTTACCTATTGAAATGCATAAATGTTGAGAAAACTTTAAACATAATTTAGAGGTAGAATTCAATTTTATTGCTGAAAGCCTTAAGATTGAGAAGGCGGTTAATATGCATATTACATTGATGCTGGCTTGTGTGGTCTCTTAATCTTCTACCAGTTTTATGATGTGGTCTTTTATAATGCCATTTGATATAGCAATCTACTGCCCCAAATCCAGATGGAGAACTGATTAACAGAACAGAAATGTAGCCATCAGCTAAGGATAATAATCATCCAGAATTACTGTTGTATGCTATATCCAAAACTAGCTAGCAGATTTTACTTCTTTAGATTATGGCACTCCTTCTCCCGAATCTAATGAATTATCAGCGAATTGCTCATGTAAAATCTTGGCTACTGCAAGGGCCTTGCTCAATGAATGTTTTGTTTAGTTTTATTTGAATCTCTTATGATTACGTTTTTTTAATTCTATCATTATTTAATCTTATTTGACTCTTGCAATTCTTATTTGCTGCATAGATTTCTTTCATATGTGCACAATTATATGGCTATTATTTTTAATGATATTTCATTCTTAAGAAAATAATATGAAAGAATCATTTGATATTATGACACACTGCAGGCTTTATCCCTTTTTTGTTTCTGTCACTCATTGCTGGGTGTGCTGCAAGGCCTGTCTATCCACTTCCTAGTAAAACATCCAATGAAAATAGACAGCCTATCCAAACGTCACGTCCATATAATATTGCACATTGAGGCTCAAACGGAGAGATCCCTGAAGAAACTGCTGCAGCATACGTGGTATGTTTGAGTAGGCTTATTCTGCTAATCCGTATGCTTTCCCAGTGGCGGATCCAGGATTTTTTTGGGGGTGTCCACTTATAATATATAAACACTGCCAGACCATTTGGATCCGCCCCTGTGCTTTCCACTTTCTGTTTAGATTTGACATGTAAACTATCAACATAAAGCAATAGAACGGATTATTTGATATGATTTTGCTTAGATTACTCAGTTCAGTAACTTATACTAGTTCTCAAGCAAAATTTCTTGGAGCATAAGGGAAATTTTAAAATTGTAGAAGAAAAGTAGGGTTTTCCTTAATTTATCTGCATTCTGAAGTGAGGTTTGAATTTGAAATTTCTATAGTTTGACCCTCGTGCTAGCTTTTTTATTTTTGTCTTTTACCCCTTCAAACATGAAATATTTTTCTTCATCCATCATGAAAAAATTTAAAATCATTGAGGTTATATGGACATTGACCATATACTGCTTCTTGCAGAGGGCTATCGAAGAGGGTGCAGACTTCATAGAAACAGATATCCTATCATCCAAAGATGGTGTCCTTATATGCTTTCATGATGTCACCCTTGATGAGACAACTGCTGTCACAAAGCACAAAGAGTTTGCAAATCGTAAAAGGACCTATGAGGTACAAGGGGTCAACACCAGAGGCTTTTTTACTGGTATGGAAGCATAAAACTTTCAGTCCCTTTCTCCTCTTACAATGGTGCTATAAAGATGATAAAATCCAGTAGATGGACATGGTGATTCATCTTGCACCATAAGTGCTCTGGAATTTTGGATTTGTACTCTTTTATGTTTATGTATTCTGTACCCTAGTAATCTTACATGCCTCCTTGGAACTTCCAACTAGTATGTTTCTACATCAGGCATCTAGCTGAAAATAGCAAGTTATTCTTCTTATACGCAGTTGATTTCACCCTAGAAGAATTAAAGAAGTTACGGGTGAAGCAGAGGTACATTTTTCGGGATCAACAGTATAATGGTTAGTTCAATTTGATCTCTATTTGTTTGGATTTATTCAATTCCATGCTCTAATATAAATAAAAAGTCAAGGAACCATTTGATAATGCAATATGGAGCTAGCTAACAATTTGCTAGCTGACTGTCGTTGCATGGTTTCATAATTTACACTAGGTTGAATCTCCACAACTTCATATCATCAAGTTATGTTGTTATGTATTTTGTTGATTTCATTGATCTACGTTGCCCGTTACCAACTTTATGGCCCTTGCATTTTATAATTACAAAAGAGCTTTTAATTTTCAGGACTGATTTGACTTTTGTGTATTCCTCAGGAAAGTTTCCCATTATTGCTTTTGAAGAGTTCATTTCAATTGCACTGTATGCACCAAGAGTTGTTGGAATCTATCCTGAGATTAAAAATCCAGTGTTTATCAACCAGCATGTATGTATTGCATAAGTGCCCCTGTAATTTCCCATCCACAGAAGAATATGATTGCCCCTTAATTGATTGAGTTCAAACAGAGTGGATGCTTTTTTTTTTTTTTAATCTTTGAAGTATATGTTTCAGAAACCACTTCAGAGGATTCCTATAATACCTCTGACATCCCTTGGGCTGTGGCATTAACAAAGTCAGTGAAAAAAACTAAAGAACTTCTCCTTTCTGATTATAATGCTAATTCTAATTTAGGAGGGCAGTGACTGGTTATATAGTTTGAACCATTGGAAAAAAGAAATTTACATTAAAACGCCCGCTGTTATATTTGTTCTTCTGTGTTATCTCATGTGAAACTACCATGCAGATCTGTGAAAAGAAAATTTTAGATCAATAGGGTGTCTGTTTACAATCCAGTGAGCTGTGTCAATTGAATGATATTTCCTATAAACTTTGAATCCCATGATTTTGAAGCAATGAATTTAACAGGTAAAATGGCCTGATGGAAAGAGATTTGAGGACAAGTTTGTGGAGACACTTAAGAAGTATGGATATTAGAGGTTCATACATGTCAAAAGATTGGCTGAAACAACTTTTATTTATAGTCCTTTGCCCCAACTTCTGTTGTGTACATATCAAATCTGACAGACTCCCCAAAGATCTTGATTGATGATGTTAAGATTTCATCTCAGGACACTAATCAGGTTTGTGCAAAATGCACCCTCTATCTGTCCCTCTTACTCTTTGTAGAATGCTCAAAGGACAGTCCTCTAAAATAGAGTTCATGAATTATATAATGGTTCCAATTTTACTACCAAAAAAGAGACAAAAAGAACTTTAAATTGTGATAAAGCTGGTTGGTGGATCAAAAGATGTCTTCCAGCATTCTATTTTCTGGATCTGATTGTCTCCATGATATGTTGTCAATTTCTTCATGAGCATGTTCTCAATTGGAAGAAATTTCCAACCTGATAAGTCAACTTTTCACAATGGAAATATAACAGATTTTGGTGAATTATATGTATCATCATGAAGACATGAACTAAGGCCTTGTAGATTAAAACATAAACTAAATGCGGTGCTGCCTCATTCCTTTCTCTCTCAGTTTAAACTCCTTTGAATTTTTTATTTCTAATGGAAGAAAATGCAATTGACATTGCAGTCATATTGGGAAATTATATCAAATGATTATCTTGACTTCATTAAGGAATATGTGGTTGGCATTGGACCTTGGAAAGATACAGTGGTTCCTGTAAAAGACAAGTACTTGCAAACACCAACAGATCTTGTTGCCAGAGCACATGCCCGTGATCTACAGGTACTCCCTATCTAAAGCTTTTGATTGATGTCACTGGTGGTAAGTGTAAACATGGCAGTGATGTTCGATGTTGGTTTTGATACAGGTGCATCCATACACATATCGTGATGGGAACATGTTCTTACACTTCAACTTCCATCAAGACCCATACCAGGAATACGATTATTGGTTAAACAAGATCGGAGTTGACAGTCTTTTTACGGACTTCACGGGGAGCCTCCACAATTTTCAGGAGTGGACCTCTCCTCTCTCTCGTAATGATAGCAGTGATAAGGGTAGTGCATCAATTATAGGATAAAATTGCCTTTTTGATCTCTTCGTATAAAAATGGATGATACAATAGATTGTATCATATGTGTCATCCCAAGAACTTATATGGGAAATATATTGAAATATAGGCA